ACTGCGCAGTAGTTTGCCCCAGGGCAAACAGCCACGCTTCTCCTCTGCAGTTTCCTGCCCATGTGACCGGGGCCGATGTTTATTTTCAGTTAGCCTAACAAATGCCTGAGACTAGGAAAGGCTCTGGAAGCTCTTTTATATCAGTGGAGACATGCTGAAAATGGAACGATGAACTATTCTCCCTTCAGCTGAGGTCTGACGCCTTTACTGAAGGATGGGAGAAGTTGCTTGTTGCTGCATGTTCTGCTCCACATGAGGCACAAAATGAACTCTCTGCATCAGATTTCTTTAGTAGACCTTTTGGTCTGTCAAAGACGACTGCAACCTGTATTGAATCGTTGGTTTCTGAGACAAGAGCTATGAATGGTCTTAAGTCTCTTGCTTCTTTCTTTTAGATTAAAGAAGAAAGAATTCAGCTTAGAAGAAATATACACCAACAAGAACTACAAATCCCCTCCTGCAACCAGGTGGGACAGGTTAAGTAGCTGCATAATGGTACAGAGACAACAGTTTCAAAATACAGAAGTGTAGAGATATTAGCTGGCTATATGAAGAATCAACATAGCATGGTCTGAATAAGCTCTCCACTGTATGTATGCAGTAGTTAAGGTTGATCTCCTTTCCCTTCCCCTCCCCACAACAGACACCCTGTGAGGTGGGTGGGGCTGAGAGAGCTCTGACACAAACTGCTCTTTTTCAAGGACAGCTGTTCCAGAGCTTGTGACTGACCCAAGGTCACATCAGCAGGTGCAAGTGGAGGAGTGGGGAATCAAACCCGGTTCTCCCAGATTAGAGTCCGCACACTTAACCACTACACCAAAGATTTGATCTGGTGACTTCCCAGATGATAGCTTGTTCTCTAAATTGCTCTGCTGCACCATCTTAGAATTCCAGAGTGGCCAATATTTAGTGTGTCGTCAGATCACTTTCTCTAAAATCACAGGGCTGTTTGTGATGATTCTTTGGTCATTAAGACTTCTTTGTACTCTAATATTATTCCCAGGAGCCTAGAAACTATCTTTGAAGAGCCAAAGGAGAAAAATGGATGCTTGATCTCTGTCAGCCACCAGAAGAGAAAGCGGATTTTGGAGTTTCAGGACTTCACCATTCCCCGGAAGAGGAAAGCTCGCAGCAGGGTCAAAGTGATGGGCAGTTTCACCCGGGCACAAAAAGCAGCCTTGGAGGGAAGAGAACTTGATGCCCTTCTGATTCAGAAACTAACAGACCTTGAAGCCTTTTTTGCAATGGAGGAGGAGCGGGAGCAAGGGCATGCACCGGGGAGTTGAGGATGAGCCATTAGCTGGAAATGGCTTAAGTGATCTGATGTGCTTGGAAGGACCTTTACTAGTTCTCCCATACCAGCTGCTCAGCCATGATGCTCATGATTAGCTGTTGGTTATGGACCTCGAGGTGCTTATATAGGTTGTTTTTTTAAAAAAATGTTGCACGAGAGCCTCTCATTTCTGGTAATGCATTCAGGTGACTGGAAATTACTGTTAATACCTGTGGTTTAACAAAATCTTTCAAAATCAGTGGGGCATATTCAAGGCTGAAACAACGCACCTTCAAATACGATAGGATTCTGAAGACTTCTGACCTGTGTACATTTGTTTGCATCCACCGCTTTTCTCCTTAGTGGCTCCTCCAAAAGGTTGTTACTGGGGTGTAGGAAACGCGGAAGATATTTATGCATAGAAATCTCATGAAGAAAGGCGCACACAAAAAAGTGTGTTGTTTCCGTCCTCTTGCCCCAGTGACGTGGGGCAGCAGGACCCACCTGTGAGTCCCAGAGCTTAGCAAGTTGCACTTTGTTTTTTGTTTGCTGCATGAGGGCACCTCATAATATGTGGTGTGTCATACATATTTTTAATCATGTATTATGGGGGTGCAGCAGTACAGATTTGAGCTCCACTCTGAGACTACTTTAGCTGTTTTTAATTTTTCTTCCACATCTGAAGACAAGCAAGGAACAGCTGGTAGCCTGAGCTCCACTTTGTTTCTCCACAGTGTTCTTTTTTGTTGCCTGAGGGCTCTTTTTGTAGCAGGTACTCCTTTGCATATTAAGCGACACACCCCTAATGTAGCCAATCCTCCAAGAGCTTACAGTAGCTCCTGATAGAAGAGCTCTGTAAGCTCTTGGAAGATTGGCTACATTAGGGGTGTGTGGCCTAATATGCAAAGGAGTTCCTGCTACAAAAAGAGCCCGATCTGGACTTGGGTGGTTAGCACTGGTAACCTTCAGCATAGAATATTATAGTTTTTATTTAAGATCAGAAAGCTGAAGGGACCTCAAAAATTATGTCTCCCTCCCACAGCCATCTCTATGGTTAACTTGAAAAGTCCAGAACTGGAACGTTACCTAGCCTGTCTTGATTGAACAAATTGGTCTCTTGATTATGGCTAGCAATCTACTATTGGATCCTGCATCTAGTTTAGTAAGCAGGCCATTAGCCATTATCCGAAGTCGTGCTTGAGAAACAGTAACCTTTCTTCCCTAAAGGGAATGCTGCTGCCCCTTTTCAGACTCTATTAAGGTTCTTTTATTTGACCATTTCACATCATGAACAGCTGTGATCAGGTACCTTCTGTCTGCAGTGCCTATACATACAATTTGAGCCTGGCTTAACAGCTGAAATGCTCAAAGATTGTCTCCCACTTTTGCATCTCAGATTTTGCACTTTGTGCCTCTGTGCCCCATGGATACCTTCTTCTTGTTACCTCTTGAATATGTAACTCCAGTATCCAGTTTATAAGTCAGTTTATCTGAAGCCATGCTAGAAAAAGCTTAGCCCTTTTTTCAGATCCCTGCGGCCTTCTTGGGATCAAAATGATGCGGCGTCTTCTCTTTCCTCTGCCATTCCTGTATTTAAGAGCAAGCAAGGAACTGAAATCAGCCAATGTAGCCTGTGGAATCCTGGGCCTTAAAGCTGCTAGAAGTGGAAGGGCAATGAATGCCACACTGTGCCTGAAATGCTAAATGGATTTCTGCTCTATATTTATCTGCATGGATACCTTGATAGGTTTGTCCCCCTGTGAACAAGATATGAATTAAGAATAATTATTTTACTAGCCAGTTTGTGACAAGATGCATTTGCTACTGCATGCAAATTGATGGGCTCTTAAGGCTCCCAAGTAATAGCTTCATCATGGACTCCCCAGAATATTTTTTTATCTTAATACTTTGGGAGTACTGATCTTAATCATTGTTAGAAGTATGTTTTAAAGCTCTTTTTTGTCCCATAGTGGGATTTTATAACACACTGGTACAGACCCTAATGTGGAAACTTTGTCAGGTTCTGTTGTGAAAATATGTAGCTGAACTGGTGTTCTGTTAGAGCCAGGCAGGGAGTATGCTCTAGGCATGGTTCTGCTTTCCACTGTGAGTTTTTAAAATGTTTGTTATTTTTCGTAGTGTGCTCTCTCTTTGAAATTGTATTTTATAAAGCTGCAACAGGGAAACACTACAACTATTTTCAGTTTTGTTTTGCTGTCTAGAAAACAGTGCCGAAGATTTCCTAGCCTGGGGCAGGGTCTGGGGCAATCCAATCAATGGTGGGACTTTGCCATTACTGTGTTAAAATGATTTCTTCTTTCCCTCTTGTTGGGTATATGTGCTCAAAGTCCCTACAGCCCATTTTCTGGGATACTGAAACTCCCTGTACCCCAAAGAGAAATTGAGGCTATTCCCTTGGAAGGCTGTCTTCAGACAGAGCCCTTCTGATGCAAACGGAAGAAGACAAGGATTGGTTGGCTGATTGTTTTGGTGTTTAGAACAATCATGAGTGGGAGAGGGAATTGATTCAGCATAATAGACAAAAAAATCCCCCCTCAAAAAAGACCCTTGGTAAACTGTGGTATCATTCTTAGTGGCAGGGGCACAAGACAGAGAGGCTGTAGTCCAGATGGGAAGGGTTATGTGTGGGTCTGTCCAAAATTCAAAACAACATTTTTATCCCTTGCAGTTGCCAGCAGAATTCATACTGGGGCTCACCAGATGTCTCATCAACAGAGGTAGCAAGCATTTCAATGTTGTCATATCAAGCTGTTCTGGTTTATGTTGGATTAAGAACTGCGTGATGAAGCTTCAGCCACTTTGTAGTTAATAATTAAGAACAGCTTGTGAGAAACGCTTGTTTGAGTCCTTCATGTTAAGAAATACTGAACTGAAATTTTGACGCTTATCCTCTTATGCCATTATCATGTTTTTTAAAGATGTCAGTAGGCTTCAAATTTTAAATTTCACTTTTCCTATGTGCTTAAATTAAAAAAATTCAAGCATACATCAAAGGTAATTCTGTGTTTAACTGTATGTTATGTACCCACATCATGCAGAAAGAAAACACGGGGTCGGCAGGGATGCCATTTGTCCTCCCAGTTTCTAACCCAGAACAAAGGGTTCAGTGAGCAGTGGGTGTGGTCATAGCGCACATATGCCCCTTTTCCTAGGATGCTGTTCAGTAAACCTGGCTGTTAACTTGAGATATGAACAATTTAGTCAATGCTCCTCTAACCTTGAACTTCAGTGCACAGTGCAGGGAGGGATGTGTGTTTATCTCTCCTGCCTCGTGCTGTATTTGGGGTACATCTTCCAACACTAATTCGCACACACACCCCATTCCCAGAATATTATAAATGATTAAGTGTTTTGTACCCGTTGCTGCTTAAAAAAACAAAGTCCTGTGGGAAAATGTTTTCTCTCTGATTCACAAAGACAGTCTCAAGATGGACACAGCCCTTAAACTTTAGAGGAGAACGGGAGATTTGGGGCTGTGAGGCATGCCTGGTTCTATAAGTTGTAAGGGGCCAATCAGGACAATTTCTCCCATAGTTCTTGTTTCCCTAGGGTGTAGAATGAATGAGGAACCAACCTCATATGATGGCATTTTTTCTTCCTTAATTTATGCAAATCAGATAGTAAATGTTCTGTCTCTTTGCCTGAACATGACAAACATTCAGACCGCCTGCCCAGACTTTTGTTAAACTGATAGATACAATGGAGACCCATTTTGTATTTTTGGAAAATGAAACTATCAAGCTGCTCTAGGCTAGTCGTCCTCATGTAAGTTTATTTAGCAAGCCTTACACCACATTCCTGCTTCAGTCCATGGAGTTTGTCAGTAGACATTCAGTGTGGGGCAGCATAGGTGCAAGTATCTTGTCTGCAGATGTCAAGGATGTCTGAAAACCAAAAGAGGATTATTTTAATTTATGATGCTACCAATGCTCAGAGATGAGTGTTGTGATTCCCCCAAAGTACAGGAAAAACTCAAAATGTGGCAAAAGTACACTTTGTGAGAGCTTTATCTTTTTAGTAAAAACCCAGCCTCTAGCCCACAGTGTTGTGAAGATATAAAGATCTATCACAACAAAGGATCCAAATATATTCATCTATCTCTGTTTAACAGTTAATTAGAAGAAGCCATCACTGAAAAAAACCTGGGACCTTTCTGCTTTCTTCCCTCTCTGATTTTCATGTACATCTAGAAATGAAATCTGAAGAAGCTTCAAAAGCCATTTCAAATGCTTCTATCAATATAACAAAATGTTTTTTGGTACTTTAAAGATGAAAACTTACTGTGGCATAAGCCTTAACTTTGTCAGATGCATGAAGTGCAGAGGCACTCAGTTGGCAGAGAAAAATACATACCCAAAGTTACTAATAGGAAAAGGGCAGAGGCCAGAAGACCCCATTTCTTAGGACAAAGATGTGTTACATAATGTTGGAGGATAAACACGAAAACAAAGTTCCCTTCAATAGCAACTTAGTCAGTTGTGAACCACTGCCAAATGTTGATTAATTAGCAAAGGAGAATAAATCTGAATAATATGCATGAAATTACAAGAAGAGACTAGAACTTTTCTGAGTGAACCAACCATCCCTAGTCCCTGCTGAGTCCAAACCTAATAGTATTAACTCTACATATTGAGGTCGTCTGCTGGATCCTACCCTCTAGGATTTTCCTTGAGTCTTGGGCTGAAACAGTTGAATGATGGAATTTTATGTTTCTGGTTCTTTAGCTGATATGAGAATCAGCAGTATGGCATGAAAGCAAAATTACTCAAATGGATTGGAATTACACAAAAGGAAGTATGTTTCAATCATTTCCTTTTCTTAAAAATACCATGAAATTCTAGGATAAAAATACTTTCAGCAATCCTACATTTTCTTAAACCGAAGTTGTTGGGGGGGGGGTTAATCCTAGAATTATCCTCTTGCTTCAGGTAGGGCTAAGGATTCCCTACAGCAATTTGCATAAGCAGGCCTAGGAGCGGGCCTCTTTTTTAGCTTTTAGTCTCTTATTTCTGGGGTAGTCTCTTAAAGTCTCTTTTTTTCAGAATAAGTATCTTTTCTCTCCTTTTTTGTGCCTTCAAGTGCTCAAGAAATTAAAATTGTGGAATAGGATTGTGGGATGTGCTATTCTTCAAATGCAATAAAGGTATGTGATTTGTCTTATTAAATGTACAGTCAATATTTCTTTTTTATGAGTTTCTTATGATGAGAATTTGCTCATAATGAACACAAATTGTATGTGTGTGTGTGTGTTATGATGCTCTGAAGAAGCTTTGCAACTTGTATAATCTTCCTGGGTAGCCCTTTTTCAACCCACCCCTTGAAAATGTTACATTTCATTAGTGTATTAGGCATGTTGCATTTTATTACAGTGTTATTCTATTAGTATCTTATTTTAATGCTTTACTTTTTTCATTTTCCTATTCTTTTTTCCTTCCTTTTAGTATTCATGTTGAAATGGTTGGCTGCTGATCTGTGAACTGAAGTGTTAATTATGGGAAAGTGCAAATTTAGAGCTGATTGGCTTCTTAAAAAAGACCGTAATGGACATTTGATGTCAGCATGGACATCAAGACACAGTGAAACTGAAGTGTTTTGCAAACTTTGTGTGTGTACAATAGATTTTCAGAACAAAGGTCTTCATGCTCTTCTTCAACACTCGGACTATGCTAAACATAAAAAATTAGCCTCTGGTGTCCTAGGGGCTAAATTTTACATCCCACTCAAGTTTTGAGAGAAAAATTATATTCTTTATCATTTTGTAGTTACACAAAATGTGTATACTTACACATTTGTTTCTGGTCTCAACCGGCTGTCCGAGTTCGGACTCTCCGCCCCACGGGGAAGATGGGAGTTACCTCCCATCTCCAAGCAAGGAGACCACCATCAAGCCGGAGAAGAGCTGGGGAGATGGGGGAGTGGAAGAGAAGGAGGGATACAGCAGACAAGAAGACCAGGAAGTATTCACCAAAGAGGGCTGGACTGACAGAGCTTTGAGAACTGGAGACGCTTCGAAGCCCAAAGGAAGCAAGATGAACGACAAAGAGAGATTGAGCCCCAAGGAGATGAAGATGTGACCTCAATGTCCTGTAGACAAGATCCACCTGGGCAGAAAGGTGGAAACATACCTGGAGCGAGTTCTCAATTATTGGCAGGGGAGGGGAAGTCTAGGAATTGATTAATTAAGAGGGAAGTCAAGGGAGAGCCGAGGTGGACGTGCCCACTTGACTCCACGTGCAGAGACCTGGAGGGTCAAATGGGAGAAAGTGGGAGGCAGGGAAGAGGGGGACGAAGGTCAGGAGTAACCTCTCCCTTTGTCACCACTGAGGCTCATCCTGTGACTAGAATCCTCTGAGAATAATCATCTTCGAGCGACTGTCCTCTTCGCACTTGGCACAATGAAACCCAGGTACTGACACCGGCTTTTCTTTGGTTGGGGATTATTGAAAAATACATGTATTTTATTTATCAGAATTTTTAGTGAGAAAACATGTGAGCATCAAACATTTGAACCATATGGAGCACTTGGTGACTTGGTCACTTTAGTCTCTTTTCAGTCTCTTTTCCTGCCATTTTAGTCTCTTTTCTCTGCTTTTTTGGGGTGGTCTACCAGTCCTAGCCCTGCATAAGGGACTTCCTAGCTTTCACTACTCTCCCTCTTAACTGCCACACTACACTCACTCTGAATAGCCTGGGCCAGCTGGAGTGTGCAGTGTGCATGCCTTCTGGTGGTCCGAACTGTAGGGGCCAATCTACACTGCCAGGCAGACAGAGGATTAGTTGAGCCTGCTTCCATGTGACTACATTGCTTATCACAGGTCAGTTACAATCTGTTCACATCTCTCTGAACAAAAGTCTGACCTGCTGTGTTTCCCTCAGAGCAGCCCAGCTTACCTGCATGTGTGCAGTTGAACACAGATTCTACAAGCTGGAAGAAAGATGTTCCAATAATTGCCTCATAATCCAGGTGGCTTGTGGGAGCAAGATAGTGAGTGGCATCTTTAAAGAGGAGGTCACTCTCTCCATACTGTTGTGACTGAAAGAGCTGAAATGTAGACCCCAAGCTTGGTTCCTAAAAGGAAACAGACAGAACTATGGTTTCAGCCTAGACAGCTCACTCTCTTCTCAGCCCTCTCCCCATACCTCTCAGCTGGATTGTTCAGCATTTGCTCAGATCCTTACTAAGCCTTCTATGTGAATGTATATAAAAGATTGGTTCACTCAGGGTTAATCAGAGACAACCAGAGGTCATTTCGGGGGGGGAATGCGGGGGAACGCAGTTCCCCCGGGTGAGGTGCAGGGGGGCGGGGCACATGATGAAGCCCTGCCCCCTGCTTCCGGCTGCCCCGCTTCCAGCCCTCATTCAGCCAGGAGGAGGCAGGAGAAGAGGGAGGGTAAGTTGTTTCCTCCCCGCCTCTCCCCACCCCTGCCTGCCTGGGGCCAGGGAGGGCCTTCGCGGGGCTTCCTCGCACTCCCGCTGGCCTTGCAGGTCCACCACCGGGCCCCTGATGTCAGGGGGTGTGGCATATGCTAATGAGTTATGCTAATGAGTTCCCCTAGCTCTTTTTCTACGAAATGACCCCTGGAGACAACCATCTCAACAGGCAGATCTGAGGTATCATTAAGTCCAAGACAGCAGGTAGAAGACGGAAGTTACTCTTTTGGGCATAATCTGCTAGGATGTTTTCTTGCATAAGAGCCATTGATAAAAAGAAGTACATGTATTAATACATGTACTTCTTTTTATCAATGGGTTTTAATATTGGCCCTCTTTTCCACTAAACCTTTGTTTGGTTTTGGATTTCTTTGTTAGGTTTAGTTTTCTTTCCCTTTTTTGTCCCTGCTTCTTGCATAAGAGCTGCAGAACAAGGAACTGGAAGGGCTAGTAGCTAAGCAGCTCCTGGATTTTTGGCTGCTACTACTTCCCACTCATCAAAGTTTTCCCTGGTGACCTGTGGTCAGAGTTAGTGTGAGCTAGCTCAGTTTTTTAGCCTCCGGCTTACACATTTTTGTCTTAGCTCAGGAAGGATGGCTCCAGAGCAAACTAATTTATGCAGTAGCCAAATCGCTGGCTCATAACTTTAATGCCAGTAGTTCATAAAATAGAATCTTTGCTCACAAGACTCCAAAGCTAAGAAAGAGCATTACCTGTGGTGTATGCTAGGAAAATTACTGTGCTCTTTCATAGTTTGCATTCATTTTAGTGGTGTCTGCACAGTGACTTTTCCTTGCCCATGTGAACTAAGGTAGGAGATATCATTTGGATATTTCCACCTCACATATTCTGGATCTCAAAGATCCTTAATAATCTCAAAAAGATTTAATCCACAACTTCCAAACTGACCTGTGATTGCCGCAGGAAATCATTGACCTTACTAACAGCCATCGAGCGTGTCACCACTATGTTAGGAGGAACAAGGCCCAGGTTGCAGGCCTTCCAGTCCTCTATTGCAGCACGATGTCCATCCGGGCACAAGAGTTCAAAGTCACTGGGAGTGTTTCCTGTCCCCCAGCCTGAGCTCTCCAAGTCTGCAAAGGAATAGAAGTGAAGCAGTTACTAATGAGAGCCAGCCATTAGACCAGCCTGTGTTGTAAATAGGATCCAAAGATCTGACATTGGCATTAGGAAACTTATACAGATAACCAAATGACAGTTCTACAAATAGGCACAAACCAGGAAAATGCTGTTCATATGCTTTCTGAGTCTGAGGCCTTTTTAAAAAATAAAATCTAGATTATTGGGATCACAGCTACAAACTCTTTATAGCCTGGTTAACAGAACTTGTTCTCCCTTACATCTGGGGATTATTCCTAATGCAAATCTTCCAGCAGTATACCTCTATCAACTCATAGCTCCAAATTTGCGTAGAGCCATATCCTTGGCTAGATTTAATGTTCTTCCTTCAGCTATTTTATCTGGCAGATTCCAAGGGATTCCCTATCCTAGCAGGTGCTGTCCTTGTAGGAAGGATTGTGTTGAAACTGTTGCCCATGTTCTCTTCCAGTACCCTCTCTATTTGGCGTCCCGTCGGGATCTTCTATATCCCATATTAGTCCATTTTTTAGAGTCCCCTGATGATTTTAAGCTTCTTTTCTTGCTCGATAACACAGTCAATTCCACTGCTGGTGGCTGCAGCGGCAAAGTCCTTCTCCTGGGGTCTCCCAGCACTTCCCCTTACATAGACCAAGGACACTCGCCTTTGGGTCACCACAGCTGAGGGAGTAATTTTGTAGCAATGTACCTCCTTTCAACTGTGCTGTAGCAGTTAGAACACTACAGGCACAGCTAGGAATAGATTTGGTAGGCTTGTAAACATTAACCTTAAAACAGCTGGGTAACCTTAAAATTGCTTGAACAGGCTAACCAAACATGAAAGCATTGTTTTAAAAAATCTCTGCAGTGTAGTTTTAGCCAGAATTGAAAAGGCAGATTTAAAATGGCCATGTAGTTTATGTCATTTTGACCCTTATTTTTTAAACAATATAAAAGTAGCTTGTATACCCTTTTGTAAATTTGAACTAGTCCCCTTCCCTCATTACCCTTACAGGCTACAATAGGAAACTGAATAGCTAGGCCCAGGACAGGAATATCAGAACTTTGCTGATTTGGTATCATAAATGTTGCAAATTTGGGAGGAAAATCTTGTTTGGGGGAGTCATTTTCCAAATTATAAAGAGCACCTTACACTCAATATTTTGGAGCAGGTTATGATGTTCCAAGAAAGCCACATCACCAAAGTTTCTCCCACTGGGGTCGCCAAGGAGACATCTGGAATAAGAATGAATGGTCCCAATGCAGGGAGTTAGTCTCATTGAACCAACTGTATAACAAACAACTGAAGACTCACTGCTTTTAGTGGGATGATAAAGACTAACTGTAGTTGTATCTGGGCCGGCATATCTAAATCAGTGATGAAAATCTCTGAGACCACAGATAATGGAGCACTGGGTGACTTGACAGTTGAGCCCAGGGTTTGAGAAACTAATAAAAATTGTTGCCAAGTTCCAGATAATAAAACAGTCCTTTAAAAACTTCTGGGCATACATTACAACGGATGACCAAAATTTTATTAATGTCAATGTTTGTCCATAAATGCTGAAAACTGTATTACTATAGGTTTGATTCAGCTCAAGGAATCCACTACAGTGAGGAGAAGGTTAACCCCTCTGTGACAGTCATAAAATTTAGAGCATTCATTGTAACCTATGTTACGTTAATAATCAGAAATTTACATTCAGTTTACTAGTAACTTTTAAGATTAAGAGAATAACCAGAAAAAAGGAACATTAGAGTTTTCATGAATGAATCAGTGAACAGTGTTTCCTGGAAAAAGGTATTGCATTCATTTGCTTGGAGATCGGGACCCTCATTTGTCTTATGTATCTCTTTGATGGGATGCCTCCCCCCCCCCTCCCCAGTTCAGGACATATTGAAGCAGAGACATTTTTAATCCATGGGTAAGAACTGTCCAAATGAATACTTTCACCGTACAAAAATGAGTAGAGAAAGCCCACCCCCCCAGTGGGGGATATACATAAAAACAAGTTATTAAATGACAAAATTTAAGGTGTCTAAATTTGAGGCTCCCTTTTGAGGCCCAAACCAAATGGTCCCCCCTATCCATTGGCACTAATAATGGAAAGTGACCTGAGAGGACCGTGAGACTGAGCATTGTACCTCACGGTCTAGAAAAATACAAGCCCTGATCCATCTGTCTTTACTGCTAGCATAATGTCAGGTTTGGCTGGCTCTCTTCCCACCCTAACTAACTAATCCAAAGAAAGGAAGAGTTTTGCTCCTCAAAATTAGCAAGAGCAGTGTAACAGCTCTTGAAATTGCCAGTCACTGCAGGAAGGACTGGAACTGGAAACAGCAACTATTCATTGCCTCTGGAAAAAGTTGGAGGAATAACCTTTTCCAAGATACCCTCCAAGCTGAATGTCTTCAGCAAATGTCTAGATATCATCATTTAAATCATTCACCAATAAAGGGCATTTTCCATATCATGGGTGGAAAGGATAAAAACAAGCCTCTTGATACACATACTACTGATATTTCCTGTTGTGACCCCTAAATTTAAGATTTATTTATATTAGCATTAGCAGGTATTGGGTGATGTACAACATTCATAAAAACATATCAGGATCAGGATAAAACAATTAAATCATTAATAACACATTTCTAACACATTTCAAACAGATCAGATGGTGTGTACTAATTTATCCAATTTCAGACTGCTGGCTACTTCATGAGCAGGAGAGAAAAGGACAAGGCAGATATAAGAAGCAGCAGGAGCGGAAAAGTAACAGTAAATGTCAGTGTTCATCATCGCCAGTGCTCAGAACCTGCACATCTCTCAAGTGGAAGACATGCAAATGTTGATTTCTCTGACTTGATGATACTATGGAGAAATGGGAGCAGGGAGAAGACTTTCACATCCTGTTCTTCTACAACAGACATTTGACGTCTCTCCCAGTCACAATTTTAATTATTTGTTCTTGGTCTTTTTGAGGGCATTTCGATTGTCACCTGGCAGCTACCACAACAATTTTAAGAATTGTTGGACAAAACCGATCTTTCAGTTGGCAACATTAAGCAGATGCTAATATTAAATACTAGTCCTCTCTTTCTAAACAATCTGCTCACCTGAGAGTACCCATGTTTCCATAGTAGCGTTCGTTATGATTGGCAGCACACCTAGCCAATCCCTTGCCTCCTTCCATCTCCTTTTGTCCAATGCAGACTTTACAAAGGTTCCCATTGGCTCCTGGCATGCAACTCTTCCAAAAGAAATCCTGGAAAGCTTTGGAGAAGGAGCACCTGCTATTATCCAATGGAATGATACCAAACTGTCTCTTCTCTCACTGTGTATAGCACTCTATTGAACTGGAGGGTCCTCACAATCAGTCACCATAAAGACCAGTCCTATGAACCTGCAGCTTGCAGAGACTGTAGTCTAAGATCAGAATTCAATCAGGAGCCAAGGTCCAGGCTAACAAACTATCCTGGAGTAGGTGTGCACTTGCTGTATTTGGATATTTGAAATATTCAATATAAACTTGATATACTCTTATCCCTGGCTTTTCATGTTAACAATAACCCAATCAGGCTCCAACATCCCTTCTGCCCACCCTTCTTACATCAGACTGTCTCACGGTTTTGCTGATATTCTCACCAGAGCTGATGTTGCAGCTGAGGGACTCATTCTCCAGTGCCCCCACAGTGTATTGAGAAAGAAGCAGCCATCCTCCGGGACTGTACACATGGCTGTGGCAGGAGCGCCTTCCCTCCAGATTGTGAATTTTTATGTGCTTGTCATTCTTCTTTGCTAAGGCAACTGCGAAGGTGGGAGGCAGTGCTGTGCGGCGACAGCAACCAGTTAGAAATCAGAGTGGCATAACAAGAGGAACTGGGAATTAAAAATGCCCTTGCGTTCAGCTCTGCCATAAGCAAAGTGGAGATGGTGGATTTTGGATGCCACTAAGGGCAGAAGTGTGATAGACAGGTGTGACCCACAGGGCAACAACCCATTAAAAAGCTCAAAAGCCTCAGCCAAATGAACTAATGCGCTCCTGAGCAGCTCCCATTTACTTCAGTGAGGTTTGTGCCAGAGAACTTCCTGATTGTGCCCCATGCTAGAGTCGGCTTTTTCTGTGGTGCTCATTATACTGGGATCTTTTGTGGTGTGGGGGCTCCCCCAAGTTCTAAGGGGGAAATTGGTGCAACCTTATATATGAATATCAGCACCTTTACAAAAGAATTTTTTAACAAAAACACTGGGTAGAGTGGAACTTCTGCTTCAGGGAACTGACCTTTTAGAGGGATATTTCTTTAAACCTCATCTTGCTTGGGGAATTGCAGAGCAAAGAAAAACTACTTTTCTAAGATAACTGCATTAGCATCCCAGTTCTCTCTTTCTACTCAGGCCCATTACCTGTACGGGGAGTCGATATCTCTTGTCCCTCTTCTCTTCTAGCTTCTG